CCCCCCACCCCCCACACCGCGCGACAAAAAGCCTAAATAACTACCCATGAATGTTAAAATCAGCGTACATTATGAACTATCTTACTTGACTTTCATGCGGGTACACCACGTGACCATATCGGTCAGGACAGTCATCTCCTGGGCAGGGCTCTGGCACAAGGACAGCTTCAGGAGGATGTTTGTGTACAGAGTCAGTAGAGCGCCTTGTTTGACACACTCTGTGAGAAAACAACAGCGAGTTTAAAAATGATCTTAGTCTCTTTGCCTGGTAAAGATATCAATTCTCAAGGCAGAATTACAAGTACGGAGAATAGGCAAATGCCCATCTGTCTTTGGGAATTTTTCGAGTCACTGAACGACAAAAATGAAACGAGAGTATAGCAGTTTAATATAACGCAAGAGACCCGCCTCAACCGCAACAACAACAACAACAAAATTATACAGCAGTTTTCAATTGAGTGTCGTAAAACCAAAACCAAACCAATAACTTACCAATTAGACTACTCAGCCAATCTCAAACCGTAGTAAACCAAAACCAAAACCAAAGTAATTGCCTGATTACTTTCCACACTCAGTTGAAAAGCGCTCTACCTACCTTGAACAAATTCATCTTGCGCGAGCTCTGGGACTGCCACACTAGTGACCACTTGTCCCCAGCCCGCGTCAGCGTCCGCTTGAGAATCGGAAGGGGTTGGGGGCAAATGCTTGGCAAAAAATGACTCGATTCCAGTTTCCACAACAGATACCATGAATTGGATGTTAGCGAGAGTCCTACAAGCTGCTGGGATGGAGGCTAATACGAGCATGGTACAGGAAGACTCCCGGATAAACTGTAATACAAAGTCTAAAGTAACACTGAGTACATCCCCCACGGGAGAGCAGTTGTTCAATAGATTGAGTACTTCGGACATCATCAGACACACTTCAGATGCAGTGCTTGCAGGATCCACACCTGGAAAAACACCAACATATAAATTCTTCTTACGTCTCCATGCATTTCCTCTAGCACCCGATGAGAGAATTCGATATTTAATCAATACTTACCTGACCCAGCAACAGACTGGACATCTTTCAGAACAAACTCGATGACAGGACCGTAAGACTTGGCTTTAAGTTTTGTGTTCATTGAACATTTAGACAGCAGACTAGCTACACAGCGAACATAGGACGCGCGCTTAGCAGCAGTGTCCTAAAAGAAAGAAAATAAACAGTCTTCATGACTAGATTAATAAATATTACTTTTATTCTTGACTGCATAACTAAACTGTACTCCTTTCTCATGTCTTATATAAACAACATTCTCAAGGAAAAACATGTTGCCTATTACTGGAAAACCTTGAAATTTAAATTTAATCCCCTAAATAAACTTTTAAATAAGCTTTTGGAGTTTTGGAGTCGGCGAGAGGGTAAAAATATTAAAGTTTCCATTAACTAGAAACGGGAACGGTTCTCCGATACCGATTAGAGGTATCTGTTATTGCTGAGCTCTGTAATTACGATACAGAACCTCGTACAACCTGCTCCAATCATTCAAAATGAGGATGCCGGCTAGCGCATCTTCAGCCAATCACATGCAAAACCCAATACAAGTCAAAACTTGGCTTATGGGTTTTCCCGCGCTTTACGTCCGCTCTTCTTCAGATTGGTTCAATAGAAAGTTTTAATTAATAATCTTTAGAATTACTTATTCGTTATTTTCGGTGCATTCACATGTTACGAACATTTTACCAATGGCAAAGCATCATTTAAATTGCAACTTACTGGACGTGTAGGTTGCATGGAACCGTCGCTGGACACCACGATTCCTGCAGCAGCTCTGATTAACCTACAGGAAAACAATTACTTCTAAGTTAAAACAGTGAGCGAATGTTTACAACAATATTGCCTCTAATGACTGTGTCAACGCCCGAAAATGTTCGCTCAGTTGTAATGGCCGTCACGCAGAAAAACTCTCTAAACTTGAACTGAAAACGGTGAGTAACAATAGGTCACTTCCGGGTTGCCTTTTGCCTCTGTCTCAAAACGAGTCTTCACGCGCAACTATTCATATGGAAATGTGTTTTCCTACAGGTTCACTTTCATGCAAATCAAACTCATTTCAGTATGAAAGGTATTGCGCCAAGACTCGTTTTGAAACGGAGGCACAAGGTAACTCGGAAATGGCCAATTCTTGCGGGAGGCAGGTTAAACGATGGAAAAAAATAATGACGATGTAGTACACTAGCCCAGAACTGTAAGTCTCTACAAACAGCTTCTACAGTTCGGGATACATACCTCAAAGCGTACAAAATTGACGATTTCGCCTCTAGCACTAACTCTGCTTCACCGTTATTAATTTGCCAGGACACGACTAGCTCGAAAGACCTAGAAAGATCAGAGAATGTCAGTGATAAATATCTGTACCAGTATGTCAGTGAAATACTGTACTTCCGGTTTTCCTTTATGTACACCTATTAAGTCTTTACAATGGGATGAATCGTTGCAGTGTCGAGAAGCACAACTTTCAATTTTCTAGTAACAAGATAACCCAGAAGATAAGCAACATTTGGTGGACGGTCAGCCATGGAGAAAAATACAATTTAGTATCACCCAACTAGTGGACTAATGCAAATCCTGCATTTTGATTGGTTACGCNGCATATGGTAAGAACGCCCACAACACAAGCATACAAAGGACGTAGGCATGCGCAGAATGGATAGCTGCCTTATGTTCGGTTCCATACCTCCGTGATACCATAAAACAAAGTGAAGACGATGTTTATATTTATGCTTACAGCAGCAAGTTCTCGCTTGACATAAGCATAAGTACAAGCACAAAATATATTTTTCCTGCTTTTACTTGTGCTTGTTGTAATGAAAACCAGGCTTTAGACAGATTTCCACCTATTGTTTCACATCTTCGATTAATACTGGTGGAGATACACCTGCGTTGGCACAATAAAATGTCTTGTGTCTCTTTCCAGTTAAACCCAATACCTCTATTTAATGGGACAATTAAATTAATCAGCTTAGCTTTGCTGACGAGACAAACCTGCCATCTAGGTAATGCCAAGGAAATATCAGTGCACTGTCAAGTAATTCAGGCATCTTAGATCCCTGTGAACAGCACAATAAATAATTGCAAAGGAAAATAAACCAGTCCGTTACATATTTACCAGGAAGGGTGGCTTGTTATCGTGAGGTGCCCTTGTTTTGAGACGCACCTCGCTATTAATAAATTAACGTGGAATGACTTAGTTCTGCTATTTAGGTTACGTGAGCGACGACGGTCCTATTCTTCCAGAGGAGAGCTAGGACAAATTACAAATTACAAATTACATGTTTAGCTTGAGCAAGTTTTGAGACCAATAGGCGCACTGAACTGAGAGATCTAGACAACTGCGAAATTCGAAGGTAAAATATTAATTCATTTTTTTACTAGGCGTTGGCCTCGGGGTCACCGTGTCGACATTGCTTGAGTTCTTTAATGAGTGATCATGGTTAACGGAAATGATTGAGGTCGGGATAATCCCGTTTTGAAAAACATTCCTAGAAGCACAAATCCTGAACCCAGTTCTTTTTACCCAATTTAACACTATGCTAGTACTCGACCGTAGTTTAAAAATTGTCATGCGAGCATGCAGCTGCAAGCACGAGTAACCCCGAAACAAGCCACCCCCTTTTTTGTGGAGAAACTGACGTCACAGGCGATGGCATGTCGCTCATAAACGGCGACCCTCATAAAGGGCGGGCTCAGCCAAGAACAACCGACAGCTTCACTTACCTGTACATTCATGATGCTCTTCTCGTTAGAAAACATGACAAGGAGATGAAACAAGGACGAATGGAGCCGGGCCACTGCCTCGGCTGTTTGACCTTCACTAAAGAACAAAATTGAAACACGACAGAATTCAAATCACTGTCTGTAAAGCACTTTCAAATGCCAATCTCCCTCAATGTTAATGTCTTTCTCATTCATTAATTGCCTCTACCTAATGTACTTAAAAGAATGGGCTTATGCACGAATAAGAGACCAAAAATGCGAAAAGCGTAGAGAGCGTGAAAAGGGAACGTTCGGCTCAGAAAAAATCATGCAAAGTCAAGGCAGTTGTATATCGGTCGCGTTTGTTGTTATTTCTCGCATTCCACGGATGGGCTTCCCCCGAGGTCTTCTCTAATTCGCCCCCTTCCGAAAACCTAAAATTTCAAAATTTCAGGGGAACTTATATATGGCGTCGAACTTTGAATTACTCAATGAGCTACCGGTACCCTATTTAATCTCAATTTAGAGTTAATTTTGAAGAGTCAATCTACAAATGGAACAAAGGGACGCAAAGAGCTGATGGTTCTAACACGGTAGTGACGATACCAAAGAGCAGAATAGTAATAAGTGGCGTGAAGCATTAATGTAGCTGTACTCTTTAGCAACTGTTTTTTACGATGCGATCCAAATTAAGACGGCATTCAACACTCACTTACCAGTAAGCAGAAATGATTCTATTCCAGTCCATTAGAGGAAATACAAGACCAAGGAACCTAAAGCTGTTCTTGCACACGCCATGCAGCTAAGGAAAAGAAAACAAATAATATTATGGAAGGTTTAAAATCACTGGATTGCAAAAAGGTGAATGAATCAGTCTTGATGTTTACACAAATTCCTCCAGATAGTAGAGTACGAAATATATGGAAGCTAGTAGGGAGAATCTGTCTGTAACTAAGCTTTAACAAACCTCCTGCATGAGTTCCATGTTATGCAGTGTCGGTAGAAACCTTTGCCAGGGAAGGAGGAAGAACTTGGAGCGATACACGCGCAACACGTAATCAGGTATTCCTTCCTTGGATAGTGACGACACGAAGAAACTCCAGAACATGTTCATCATTGATGTACTGCTGTACGGAGCTAACGAGAGATGAAATCACACAGTAAAATGAACTGATACAACAGTTGGATTTGAGTGGTGCAGGTGAAAGTATAAGAGCTGGACTAAGCCGAGAGCAGCTTCTGAACTACTTCGGAAACGAACCCTTGAACGAATGGCAGGCCTTCTGTTGCTCTACTGTCTAAACTGTGAACAAGTCATGGCTTAAAAAGGCAGTTCCGAAGAGGGGAGCGAGGGGAGAGAAGGGAGAGTCCAAGTCAGGCTAAAATAGCTTAAATGGAGGACTTAAAGTCGGCACACACGAGGGGACCAGTCCCTGCAACTAGTCCCCTGAAGAGTTTACACGAAGGGACTGGTCACAGGGCCTTGTCCCACGAACAGTTCACACGAAGCGTTTTGAGCAACAAGTCGCAGGGACTTGTCCCAAAAATTCAAACTGGTTTGAATTCGTGGGACTAGTCGAAGGGACTAAACTTTGGTCCCTGCGACTAGATTGTGAAGTAAAAATGGCCAGTTCACACGATGGGACTTGTCAGTTGCAGGGACTAGTCGCAGGGAATAGTCTCCTCGTGTGTGTCGACCTTTAATGCAAGTATGATATAACCTGGAAAAGAAATTTCCACGGAGGAACGTAAGCGCAGAGTAATATTCTGTCTGTCTTACTCAGCATCACAAATACTCGCTACCTATTACTGTCCTACGCAAGCTTTAAACATTATATTTTCTCTTACGTCCTTCAATGCAAGCCTTTTAAAATGATGAACACCCCCCCCCCCCACCCTGCAATTTACCGTTTCTTCTTTACGCTTCCAGTTTACCCCTTACCATTTAAATGAGCCTGTAGGCAGTTCAATGTGTCAGTGAACAAGGCAATCATGTCTGAGGCTTGAGGAACTTCACTCTCATTCCAAGGAGCTACCGGAGCATTCCTGTTAAAACCAGTCAAACAGGTCAAACAAGTTTACTCGAGTACATCAATCCAGTTAGGCTTAAAATTAATCGTTTTCTCAAGACGTCACGGCAGCCATATTGGTGTTCCGAAACAATGAAACGGCCACCATGTTGTTGGTGTACCAAACTAAACACATGGGAGTTGAACTCTTTTCTTATAGAAACACTTTCTTTTGTTCCAACAAATTTGCATGGCTGCTGGCCAGGTCAGCAAAAACGGTCTATACCAATGTTTAGGAACATGTCATTTCAGCTTGTATTGGTGTCTTTTCCAATGATAGTTACAGTGCTAAGATCATAACGAAGGCCTCTACATATCTGCGGTACTAGCCCATCATAAAAAATAATGATATTACATTAACGCGGGAAAGCCGCTGAAATGAGACATTCTTAGCAGAGTCCAAAGACGAGAGAAGCAGTTTGCGATGATTTGCCAATAGCTAAACTCACTCTTAAACCACTCAAGTGACCAAACATCGAATTACCATCACGGAGTTCATAGTTACAAGTCCCTTTTCGGACCAGGAATTTTTTTCTAGCCATTTTGGACAACTTATTTCATTGCCCACTAACTTTGAAAATCACATTACGTCAGCAAAATTAGGATAGGTGAGTGGAATTAAGGATTTATACTACGACTGTTGTTTGAGAATTGTCTCAAATTGCTCGAGACTTATAGAGTGCAATTTGAAAAAATTTTAAAATATCACGAGTGGTGCAAATCCTAATTTCATACGATTACTCATTTATTCTATGACTGAGAACGTTTCGAACACCCGCGCGTTAATTTGCACTACAGTGCAAAATTAAAAATTAACGATAAATTGACCTGCCCTCAGCCAATAACAATGAAATAATCCACAATGTAAATCTTACCCTGGAATAGGAGATTCTTGAGAGCAAATCCACGGATCAAACACTCGACAGATTAGCGTCCAAAGCTCTGTTAACACTAAAGAGACAATAAAGTACAGCAAAATGATGACTTGTGATCAACATCCAATTTATCCTTACGGTACATCTACAAGCAGACAGGTAATGAGAATGAAGAAAATCATCAAGTACGTCAAGCAGTTCCACCAGATGTCTTGGAGACAACACACGATTAATAAAGTGTTAACGATGATATCGGACACTGTACGTAAAGAAGTATCATTTCTCCCTAGTAACACGTAGTAACTCTTTCTGAATGACATAACTATTTTCAAAAAATCGAAAATACTTGATTTAGTTACTTGATTTCGGAGTTGAAGATGTGAAATACATTGCCTGATACCTAAGCTGCCCGTGAACTAAGCATTAAACCAATAAAATACTGTAAAATTGATCAAATGCACACGTGGCTCCTCGTATGTAAAGGTCTAAACCAACGAACTTTACCTGCGTCTAGTCCTTGTCCCTTGTTAGCAAAGACCACAGCAGCTCTTCTTACGACGATCTGTTGACACATGAAACCGAGGACAAAAGACAGCTGCTTGATGTACGGCCTCCACATGGTGTAGAGGCCACCAGTCACATGACCTCCCAATTCAGCCCGCTGACCACTGAAGTACCTGGTGAGCCAGTCCAGAGTTTCTAGCACCTAATACATTTGATAGAACAGTAGGGGCAAAGCAAGAAATTTTAGTGTTCGTTGACAAACACTAAAGCACGGACAAGGATAGCATCCAATGTTTCAACATGGACAGCAGTTTGAACAAGTTAACCTGTTGAAGAAGTCACTTTTGGAACTAACAAAATTACGTTTTAACCGACGGAATCCTCAACGTAATATTAAAATTGAAAACAAATTACACATTAACAACAACAATCAAGGATGAATAAGACTGAGTGACATTGAGACGGATAGTAAGCAATGAGCTTAATCGACAATATATATAAATATATATAATATATTAACCTGTTCATCTCCGAGCACTCCCTTTGATGGTGTCTTTTGCTCATTTTCAGTGGTTGGAACACAGCCGATGCAGGACATAAACGTGCTCCATACATCAAGACAAAGCGTCCGCTTACTGGAGCCTGAGGGGAAAAAAAAAAACTAATTAAATGTCTCGACCAATAGGCGAGTTCAACTATGACATATCCTTACGCTTCCATGGCAACGTTCATGAAAATCGTGCGTTACAGTCTTCATGTACTTGTAAGAATATTTGTCACTTCGGCCCTCTGAAAAGTTTAAAAGTTTAAAAGTTTAAAAAAGATAGCGTGCTCTACTCACCTTCACACAATAACCTCAGTGCATCACTGTACTGCTCGGGAAAATTGTACATCAAGACAGTAGACAAGTGGCGAAGGTAGACCTGAATATCAAATGAAATCAGTCAATCACTCGGTCAGTTAGTCAATCAATCAATCAATCAATCCTTAAAAAAGTAAACATGTAAATAAGACGTTAGAAATAAGTCAGTCAAACAGACAGTTCAGCAAGCTGCAATAACAACTAATACATCCACCAGTTAGTCTTTCAGTAGGTCGGTTGGTCAGTCGGTTGATCAGGTGGTCAGTCCGTCGTGAACTCACATCTAGAAGTGCTCTCTTGGTACTTGCAGGCTCATAACCAACAGTGTTGAGTGCCTCAAACACGGCAGACGTCAAAGCCGATCTTTCCATAAGATTGCTGTTTGGTGATGAGAACCACTTTCGCAACTCAAACTAAAAGGAAATAATTACACGAGACAATCTAACAGACATTTAAATACCATTCAAACAACAAAATACACAACTTTAGGATAGCAGGAGCTTTGATATAAACCTTCTTCAAACTCAAATGACAGTGCTTAAGACTCAAATTTGGTTATCGTACACCGATGCTTAGAAATTCAACTCGAGAAAGAGACTAAGGTGTCAGAATAAAATATATATAGACCTACTATCATCAACATTTTTCTTGTAATTTGTTATTGCAACTCACTCAGTGACAACAATCAACATCGTAATGGCGATGCTTAAAAACACCTCAAGAAGAGTGCACAAGCACGTCACAATCACCCTGGGCTGGAGGGGGTAGAGTAAATTAGATCCCAAACAACACCCCAGTGACGCCCATATTTGGCTGCTGCTCTTGTGCGCGATGTATACTTAAAGGAAGTGTTTCTTTCCTAAAGGTACTTTTATGGAGGTACGTTAGTGGCCCCCACCTCCTCCTGTCGTTGTAGATTGGACAGGACGGTGCCAAGGAATACTCAATGGGTCTGATTAGTTAAACCTAAGGTTAAGTCTGCATACGAGCCAAGTGACTCACTTGGCTCGCGGACTGGGACGCTGATTTTCCGCACGTGAAAAGCCCGAGCGACTTTACACCCATATTTATCCTCCTAAAAAAAACATCCACACAACACGCGTTGTAACATCCACGAAAGAGGTAGCGGCAAGTCTACAAATAACTTGAGCGGGATTACCTTCAGAATAAGGATTAACTCTCTACCTTTGATCTTTTCATGAATAGGTACAATTCGTTGGTGTGAGGTTTACACGAAACTAACAATGAACCACAGACAGCCTTTTACCTGGCAAGGAAGACAAGCTTACCTTAGTGAGCAGAGAGAAAACAAGATCGTCGTCAGTTGATTCCAGGATTCGGCGATACATGGTAGTAAACGAGTCCGAGTTATCATTGGGACTGAAAAAGGTAACCAACTGCATTGACACTGAAGAGTGCTCCAAGATGGCAGACAACAGCTGCTCTGTTTGGCTAGAGTTGTTCATTATAAACTCCTGAAAAACAAAATTTTAGGCAGTGTGATAGAAACTGTTTGGGATGGTTCATTTTAAACGTCCGGGCGAAACAGCGATCTTGAAAAAGCTAGGCTAACTGTTTCAAGATGCACAAAACTTGACGCAACCCACAACTTCATTGAGTGCTAATGGTTCAATATAAGATAACTGTACTTGGCTCAGTACTAACCTTTCCCAGTATATCGACACAGGACGTAAAGAACTGGACAGTCGGTTGGTAGTTCATCACATTATCGTCCATTGCTCCGGTAACATGGTAAAACAACGCTGTGCCAATGTCGCTGATAATTTCTGAAATCAGGGCAAGATAAAATATAACATGTCAACCAGTAGAGAATGCTGCTCCCCGCCCTAATCTAATCAGTATGTACCTTCTTCCCTCTTGACCATTCAGTGTCAACCTTCGTTTTTAATCCCAGACTATTGTATCTAAATAAAAATTCAACTGTATCCCCCCTTCCCTGACTCGTATTGTAGACAAACAGATAGTTACAAATACCTTTCACTCTCCTCTCTGAAGAACCTTTTGCTTTGTTCACTAATGAGCTGCAATAAAAATCACGAGGTTTCTTAATATGTGAATAAGATGATCCTTGTCATCAAGTAAACTGGGAAATGATTTACTAAGGAAAACGTTTATCGCGAGATTTAAATCTACAATGATAAGGAGTTCCAAGAAATTACTGCACAAAAGACATTGAACACACATCAATCGCTTTCAACCAAACATTGGGAAACCAACGTTTTCATGTCACGCGTAGATGTTGGTGAAATATCAAACCAGTGTCGGAAAATATTGAAGCAATGTTGGTCATACGCGTATGTTGGCCAAATGATGCATGTGACAGATGTCAATCACTACTACTTACGTAATGATACTTTCAATATACGCGGCAGACTCGCACAACTGCGCAGGGCATGGCTGAATGAAGTTCTGTACAACTTGTTCCTGTTCACGGCGATTATCAGCAATTTTTCGGATTACAACTTCGTTGGGACGTTTAGCCAGGAACTGTTGACAAAGAAAATCATCGTTAGTGCGCTCGACTCCCATCCTGGCCGGGGACTCTATGCTGTGTTCTTGGGCAAGACACTTGACTCTCACAGTGCCTCTCTCCACCCAGGTGTATAAATGGGTATCGGCAAACTTAATGCTCGGGGGGTAACCCTGCGATGAACTAGCATCCCATCCAGGGCAGGGAGGCGGGAGAGGGGGAAGGGGAGTAGAAATATTCCTAGTCGCTTTATGCTACAGAAACCGGGATAAACTCCGGCCTAATGGGCCAATTGGCTCGTATGCAGACTTTACCTTACAGGTAATCAGCACCGATAGAATTAACTTTCACTAAACAGCTGAGTAGTCCTTACAGAACGTTTCTAACAATGTGCTGATAGCTTTCAACGTGCAATGATTAGCACAGCAATGCTCACAAGTGAACGATGCCTTTTCTTCTCCCTAACTTAAATTACTGCATATTAATCACGAAGATTCCAATGATCTCATAGAGGATAGGGTGGCCTAATGATTTGCGCGCTGGATTAAGATCAACCAGCCCAAGTTGTGTTCTTGGGCAAGACAATTTAATTTCCCTGAACCTCTCTCTGCCCTGGTTACTGGTGAATTTCATGCTCAGAACAACCCTGAGATGGACTATCATCCCATTGGGTTGGGGAGGGTGTGGGGGGAGGGGGGGGGGTGAATTCGCTTAATGCTACAGAAACTGGAGACAAGCACCAGAATGACGTGCAACTAGAAGATAAATCGTCTTGTTATGACACCAAATTCTCAAAACTTATGGGAAAGAAATGTAAGGAATCATTAAGTGATATTTCAGAGTAATCCTACAGGTTAGTGGATGACATTACCTTGATGGTGAGAGTAGCGGGTCCCCGACACTGAGTTCCTTCCTTGAACACCTTATTGCGGCAAGGTACTTGTACTACAACCTAGAGCAAAGAAAAATATATCACACATATTTGCAGGAAATATGAATATCATAAAGAATTTCTGCACAGAGAAAATGCTAAAACTTGCTACACCTCCTCTGACAAATGTTGAGAGTAGCGTGGCCGAGTGGTGCAGGGCACTAGATTTGAAATCTGGAGTTCCTTGGTTTAAATCCTTCATCCTGCCAGCAGCTGAATTTTGCTCTTGGTAGACCGGAGTTCAACTCTTAGGCTACGCTCTGTACATAACCTTGCTTCCAACTGAGGATTCTTAACACGTTTAAATTAAATTTTCAGTATTTGTTTGTTCACGTACAACGTCCACAATTAGCATCGTAGTGCTGAAGCTGAATTTACCGACACTTACACAAAGTTTTCCTTGGCTAGTTATTTTTTTCTTATAGACACCTCAAAAGTGCATGACCTCTGGCCTCGCTTTTACCTCAACTCTATTTCAGTAAGAAAAAATACCCGATGAAGCATGTCTTGAATACACTTTTTAAAGGCCTGAATTACATCAGAGATTTGTCGACTTAGATCTGTTAACAACGAAATGAAATATAAGGTATTACCTGCGACATCTCGTTCGAGTACATTTTGGGTATTAACTCAATATATTCAATGTCCAAGGAGACGTGCTGACCAACAAGACCACAAAACTTTCTGTACAATAAAACAACAACAATAAAAACAGTTTATTTACAGATGCGAAACATAGAATGCTGATCGAAACAGCTTCTGCAGCAGCTATACTCTGCGTTTGCTAAGCCTGGTTCTCAAGCCCTTCAGGATTACCAGCAATGCTCTCTTCGGCAATTGCCTCAGCTTTATCGTAGATGGTGCACACAAGGAAAACGTTTTACTACCTGTCTGCCATAAGAACCTCAAGTATGCCTGCAAAGTTGAACCCTAATACGTCCGTAAATTTAAATAACTAGAACTAACTACTGTTGTTTTCATAGATTACATATACTAGTTTGCCGATCAAATGAAACGATGAATAGACAAGTATTGTTCACAAACCTTGCATGACTAACTATTCCCTGTAGCTGACTATAAACAATGTTCAGTAGCCTCTGTTTGTTCATTAGTGATGCATCAGTCATGGGGGGTAGGATGGGTTCTAATCTTTTTACAGGGGGAGGGTGTAGGGGGGCAGGATGTGTTTTCATTCTTCTGATGATCCTTGAGGCAGCTTAAATTGAAAAAAAAAACTATTATAAATGTCGTTATAATTATGTTTTCAGTGCGCTAAATATCAAACAACTCAATACATCAAGAGTTAGAAGTGTTGCTTATTCAAACCTAAAGTATCTCAATCAGGGCCAATAGGCCATTTTCGAATTAAATCAAGCCTATTTCTCCAAGCGAGTCTTGGCGTCCATCCTTTCATATGAAAATGAGATTTCGTTCAAATGCAAATTAAACTCATTTTCATATAATTGACTGTGCAAAAGGCCTCGCTATGATAGAGGATCATAGAAAGGCTTCGGTCAACTCGGAAATGGGCTATTTCTTTCATTCGAAAGCTACGTTTTGAGACTTGTATTTTAAAATTCTATATACTGCTAGGCCTGTTGACTGAAACCTGACAGAGATACACTCAACCTGATCAATAACTGATATACTTCCTTTTTACAGCATCCATAAGAGATAAAATAAGGAAAGTAGTCAACTATATGCGGGTGCTTTTTTTAAATTTTGTCTCGATATGAGGTTAAATGTCCTAGAACTAACTTTAAAATGAAATGGGTAGCAGTCAGCGCGCGACGCGGCGCCCTGACGGGTAGTGTGGTGGACTTTATATCAAATGATCCTGATTCGGGCCCTGACAGGGACATTGTGTTGTGTTCTTGTGCAAAACACTTTACTCTCACAGTGCCTCTCTCCAACCAGGTGTATAAATGGATAACAACAAACCACCCAAGGTTCATAGCCAAACACCTGGCCACTTCAAGCAACAGAAATGGGAGGTTAAGTGCCAGAGCTTATGAGCTGCTAAGGTTTGAAAGACTTAACTTTTTTATGACAAACGGTAAACTGAAGGAATCACTTGACCAAATCTGAGATTGATGTGTGTGTACCTGTCTCTGAATTCCTGTCATTCCACTGTCCAGTTACTTTACCCTCAACAGGCTTCTTCTGTGGACCCAGGGCATGCTTCACCCAGCAGCGCACAGACTCGGTTATTTCCAAATCAATCTTGTTCACGAAGAGCAAGTCATTCCACGGTTCCTGTGACAAAGTTTACACAACTTAGGAGAGGAAACAACCCTCAGCTTGCAAATTAGAAGCAAACGTTAATAAAACAGACAACTGGGGTAATCTGTAAGCAAGGTGTGATTGTACTGTATTAACAACAATCTGATACATGTAAGTTCACAGTCAGATCAAAAACATTTTTTCCACGGTGAATGGTGCAATACATTTGGGCTAAAATGGAGATACAAGTAATATAATGCTGAACACAGATGTCTCATATAAGTACATAATCCATGCACTTGAACATATTATATTTTTGCTTGTGCATGTCCCAGCTAGCTCCCAGACAACTAAGCAATTCAGGATGCTAACGTCTGTGTGGGCACATACCAGTTCAGATTTGAGCAATGTTTCCAGCCGGGCTGGATCATAAGGAGGCGGTAATGACGGCAAGTAGAGATCGGGATCATGAAGCCTGGGTTCATCCAGCCACAGAACAAGAGTTTGATAAAACCTGCAATGAGCAACAAACCTCCATTACAACACAGAGCACGAGGAATGTATTATAAGCCTAAACAAAACTTCACTTCCACTGTCATGACAATGCTGAAATACACGATTATTCTATGATATTCACAAAGACGCCGCTTATCCCCAAAATAAGAGGTTGGACTGCAATCAGCAGAAAGAGTTACTTTGTAGTGTTCTTAAGATGATAACCACATCTTCAAATCCCAGAGAGGAAACTTAAGAAAGACGATGTCAAGCTGTGAGGGTCACCAAAAATTACGTTATACAACATGAATCGCCACACAGAATACTCTGGTGGAAGTCTATGAACCCTGAAAACTTCTTCTTTTCGTTAATTCCCTTTTCGTCACAGGTTTTCCCTGCAGGACTACAATGAGCAACGACAACAATACACCCTGATCACTGAACAATGTCCCAACCGTTCCCAAAATTGCTGTAACTCAACCTTGTACATACCCTGAGAGTTTTTCATGTAAAGCTCTTGTGTGCTCAAACTGCTTGCTTATTTCACGGTCACTGTCCATCACTGCATCATGGTCTGCCCCAGTCTCCACTGATCTATTGCGGTGATGTTCAGCTGTTGCTTGCAGTCTTTGCTTCATCTTCTTAAGCATTGAGCTGTAACCTTGGCTCTCAAAGAAACGATAACCCACACAAGCCCGCTGAGCAAGCCTTCAGCAAAAAAAGGCAGATGATATGTTTCTAATTACACAGCTATCTATCACCTTGAATTAAGCCTGTTTCACGCGTTTAGTTAGTTGGCGAGCAGCACAAAAATCGGCGAGAGAAACGTTTTTCTTTTCCCGCTTTTCTCGTTACTCTCTAGTAACCGAACGCCTGGAACTAATTTGAAGTTGACTGCTGTAGCGAGTTTGCAAAGCTGATGTTTTGAATGTTAGCTGTCCATAAGAGCAAAGTAATTCATTTATCTTTATTAGCTTCGAGTTAATGGATAGTTCAGTGCTTCATTCACCCGCCGACACAGCAAATTGGTTTCTTTAGAAACTCACAACTTCACACATTAATTTTCCTATTGCTTACTAGGAAGTTGTTGTGACCTAATAGTTGCTATCTGGGAGACTCAATTCGTTTACAGTCTTCTCTGTGTTCTTGCACAAGACACTTTCCTTTCATAGTATGTCTCTACCTACATCTCTCTACAGGAGCACATGGGTGTATAGGGATACTGGCTATTCTACCACCATCGACAGTCCCCCGGCCCCCTTACCCCACCTTACACGCACTACCAACAACTATTTGCCCCATTCTAACCCAAAAGCAAATTTCACCCCCCTACTCACCCAGGTTGTGTGACTGGCCTCTGCAGGTAAAGTCTAAAGAAGCGTTGCCAGATCAGCGGTAACATGGGATGATCCACTTCTGTAACCATGGCCTGATTGGCCCAACGATAGATGGAGAGGCTGGACAGAAGAGGTGTCCATGATAATTTCATAGTCTTCACTACTTTCTGTAATCAATAAAACGCATTTTACACATTGATTTTGTTTTAAAAATTAATGCTACAAGCGAACGACCGTTCAACGGTTCAAGTTCAAGTTCGGTAGAAGAATAAAATTTCATGTACAAATATATGGTTAAAAACGCTAAAATATGTACATATGGAACAATTTCAAAGAACTTATTGATTAAATTTTACACATTACAAAGTGTTTGATTTCCATTTTACCTTACTTCAAATTAAGATCAGTAAAAAAGAGAAGGTAAAATAAGTTTCCAAATTATCAAAAACAAAAAGGTTAAACCACAACGCAAACGTTACTGGTAGCAATGTTACTGTCACACAGAATCTTTTGTTCAGTGCAAGACAATAACATTCTAGAAAATTTTGTTAACAATGGAACTTAAAAGGAAGATAACACAAAAGTACAGAGAACTGCTTAGTGTAGCTTGATCAGTCTTACAGGGGCTCAGTCGGGTTTTTTTTTTGTAGTTGTTTTGGACGTTACCTTTAAATTGAAGGAAACCAGAGAATAGTAGTTTACTAAGGTCGAAAAACACCAAAGAGACAACTCATCAAGGACGAAAGGTGTTCAAGGATGGCGAGGGTGGTCAAGGATGGCGAAGATTCCAAACGACGAACTTTAAAAATTAAGGTTAAACTTTTGAAGATGCGCAAAGCGTGACGTAGCTCCTTTTTAAAAGTAGTATTGATCTAACCTTAAGCACTGCGTCGACTGTGGCATCAGGCTTCTTCAGCAATCTCTTGTTCATTTCTACAGAGAGTCCAGAATTCTCTTCCATCTGAGTTTCCATGCACAGCACACAATAGGCATAGTAACTGTAGTCTGGGCTGGCCTGTTAACAAGCAACAGTATGTAGGTATCATAAATTCACCTAAGGTAACATTAACCCTTCACATGGTGTAGCATCTGGGAGTACTGGGCAGAGCTTGAAGAAAATAAAATCTGCCGGGTAGAAGGTGGTCACCTGGACCATCACCCTTCGGGGATCCTGCATAAAAGTCAAAGTCAAGACATTGGTCCTGCACATTGTCTGGTTAAAGATACTTTTGCCAGATGACTAAATGACTGGTAATCCAAGAATTTGCCGGGTCAATAACCATAAATTTGAAATCCCGCAGTGTTTCCGCCAGAGCGCGCCATTGCGGGAATCCCGCGTTGCAATCAGAGATGGCCCCCAGAAAAACGAAAAAGGGCCAATTTAGCCCTTTTGCTTTACAAGACTGCAGGCTTAACACAGGCATAATATTTCAAAAGCCATCCCAGGACTCGAAATTGTGATCGATACGGTCGCCAATGCAACTAACATTTCATCCTTAGCGACCAAAAATTCTGGATTAGTCGCCATAATACGGCATAATGGTGACTACATTTCTCTGTGTTGACGATCAGTAACGGTTATTTTGTCACACATTATGTCCTTCTAGAAAATCATATTGAAAGATCTTTGCTTCTAAAACATTCAACATAAGAAAAGAATTCAATCCGTCCTTTTGCTTTGCGGTATTGATTCTTCTCACATCGGAAAACTTCCAAATGGCTGACCGTGGTTGAAATCGCCCTATAATGCATTGCAAACCCTTGATCATTGACTGGGTCATGTATGCCTAAGGATTGTCCTCTTGTAATGTGCGGATCCTCCATGCTAGTATCTGATTCAAAAGAAACTTTATTGAGTAGAAACACTTCAAAAAGCACTTACTATTAAATCTTATCATAGATCCTAATAAACTGCTTTATTTTCCTTGGTACTCTGATGCATTTTTTCCCTCTGTAGCTTTCAGTTTATTGGCCCCTTTTCTAAAATATTGGCCCCAAAAAAAGATGTTCAGGGGCCACTTTGGCCCTCAAGTAAAATTTTCTGGCTGAAACACTGAATCCCTTTTATGTGTAACGTTATCTCACCTTAATATCCCACAGGACAGGCGGAGCGTTGCTGCTGGAAGTCACCCAAGAGACAATAGAAGCAAGAACACCTTGACTGCCAGTTTCTTTGAGTAGCACCTTGACACAAGCACACAATAAGGAAAAAACTTTCTGAACCAATTTACACAAAACTCAGCAATTATTACAAGAATGTTTTGCTGAGTATAAAAATACTTGCTATGTAAGTAGACAAAAACCATATTTTTTCAAGAACCTTGTCAACTGGGGTTGTTATCTTTATACCTTCACCAAATTCTTCGACATGTGATATGAAACACTTCTTCCTCAATATATTCCACCTTGTGTTTACAATGTACGTATTCTACATACCCGGTAGGCTTCTATGAGGTGAGTCTGTATCATTGAAAGGCTTCCCTCGACTCTTACTGCAATTTTGATTAGGTTGTCGAGTAAAAACTGCACACAAACATCCCTGAAAAGAGAATACACACAGGTTATTCAGTTCATTCAAACTTCAACCTGCCAAACAGGTAATTGAGTCAATATACCCAAGAAATGCAGGAAAGTATGTGTGTAATAAGCACAGCTGGTACTGACCTGTACCAATTCGGCAATGAACACAAAGTTAGCAACCAAAATTCCACAACACTGACTGATCCTACCATACCAGGGGCCTGAAACTTCTGAACATGGCTCTGCAGAAAAGAAATTGACTTGGAAATTGTTTGCACAAACATGTGGTAGGCATGCCGTAATGCCTGTTACACATTCGTTTGGATGACATGCCATATGGCATTTAAGCCTTCCTCAATAAAAATATCAGCAGTTTGATTGCCTAGCATTAATACGGGTGTCTGGAAAACTCGAATAGCGAATAGCGAATAGCCGCGAACTGCGAACAGCGAATAGTCCCGAATAGCGAATAGTACGAATAGTGCGAATAATGGCGAACAGTCTCGAATAGTGGCGAATAGTGGCAAATAGTGGCAGATCGTAGTAAATAGGGTACCCAGTATCTCGCAGTCAACCTCGCAGCAACGTAGGATGTGATTTTCCAGCTAAAAAGCACAGACGCTCATCAGGACAAAAGGTGTTTCTAAACGTAATTTCTTCTGTTTTAACCGCTGCAAAAGCGTAAATACGTCTTTATTAGGTTATGCTTGTGTTTCCTNTACAAAAGGTGTTTCTAAACGTAATTTCTTCTGTTTTAACCGCTGCAAAAGCGTAAATACGTCTTTATTAGGTTATCCTTGTGTTTTCTGTTTTCTCAATGTCGGCGATGGACAGCCTACTAGCCTGAGTCCGGAGAAGAAAAGGTAATAAATTCACTGAAATTCGGTTGCTTATTTGGATAATTAATTAACGCAGGATATCAGACCTAAAGCGGTGACTATTGACGACTATTCGTCACTATTCAAAACTTTTCGCGACCGTTCGCCACTATTCGCACTATTCGAGACTATTCGCACTATTCGAGACTATTCGCACTATTCGGGACCATCCCCTATTCGCTATTCGCGACTAATCGCTATTCGCGACTATTCGCTATTCGCTATTCGGGTTTTCCAGACATCCCATTAATACATGTTAACCTAACCAGGCCAAAGTCCTAAGAATACTAAAGATCAAAACTGGAATATGTAACCAAACTTCAGTTTGTACAATATCAATATAACACTGTAAACTAAACGAGCGTAGGCTTTTAGTTGAAGTTTTAACCATACAGTATTCTGAGAGTTAAAGGATTCAATGGCTAAGTCAACGTTTTTCCAAGAAATATAATCACGATTTTACAGATCGATTTAATGTATAAAATCACCAAATCAGTGCTTCTGCTATTCAGATATCAATTCTTCGCATGCTCAGTTTTAATCAGGTTGCTCACAACAGTCTCAGACAACAACTTTCAAGATGTGAAAAAGTAGATTACAAGTAGTCCCTATTTCGCTTAGTCCGTTGTGCGTGATGCGACAAAAAAAAAAACCCTTGAAAAAAGAGTGCCCGCGAGAAATCCCGGGGGACAGACGCGCGTGAAAGGAGCGCTTCTTGCCACCAGGATTTCTTCCTTGAGGTTTATTTCCAGTCATGCTCGAGTGAAAAAGAGACCCGGCCTCTACTGACTCAGAGTTCACTGTACCTGCATGATTCCCACCAGCCTCTTACAGTACTGTCCAACCGTGGAGGCTTGAAGAAGCTTCTCAGCATAACCTGCATTATCACTGTCTAGCTGGCTTAAACGATGGATCACTGACACAAACCTGTGTAGAATTAGTTAAAACTATCATTAACCTATGTAAATTAAGTGCCATGTCAGGGGTTTCATTAAGGGCCAGGCACGAGGCAGATTGACAGGCTGCGAGGCTGATTTTGCCCGTCTGGTTTGACCATGTACAGAAAGGTTTTTCTTATAAGGAAGTTCAGTTCAAAAGGTTTTGCCCGCCTGCGAAAACCAGTTACCCTCCTGCTGAAAACGTAGCCTGTGAACAGGCTCACCTTTGAGTTACACGCGCGAGCGGCGAAGAGCAAAGCGATCCGGCGGAAAGGAGTCTGGTGATGAGGCTTCGCGCTCGCGGCTACGCCGCGCGCGTTTGTGCTCCAACATGAGCCTGCCCGCAGGCTACTAAAAACGTTTTACATGAAACTCCTGCATGTAAATCCCACCAATAATTGGGATCACTTGTAAATGCATTCTGTTAAGGTTTCATAAAATATCTTCCAAATAAAATTTAGTCACCAGACATTTTCTTGGATAGAAAAGTTAGGAGTTATTAATTTGCCTTTATTGTAAACATTACCTTGCTTCCTGTGTAAGTTTATCTGGACAACCAAAAAATATTGGTGTCACGTTTGCCACAATCCTCAGAGCAGCATCAAAACATTTCTCATTCACAATGACTGTTAAGTGGTCCAATCCAACACCCAAGAACAAGTCACGACTGAGGAGACAATACAAAACAATTACGTTATACCTTGAGTGAAGATAACAGTCACAGTACATGTGCATGCACCCTTAATTTGTTTCATTTTTCTTCCTCGTCACTAAATATCTCGAGGCAACTAAATCAATGAAGCGTAAACAAAAGTTTAGACAGAATACGACGAGATGTTTTTCAGGGTGGCTAGAGAGTGGCACCTGCTGAACTATAGGCTTCCCCCCTTACAGTGTCTGGTTCAATGCTACAAGTAGCAGCCAGTTAACGCACTGACACCTGAGATGTTTTCCAAGAAAGCGCAATTTAACACTACATGTACATAACAGATTGCAACCAAATGGCCAAAAACATCACTTGAAAGTGGCAAAGCTAACGTGCCCTTTCATGTTAAGGCAAAAACATGTATCTTCAGTGGCGGATTTAGGGGAGGGGTCCCCCCCCCCTTATTTCGGGTAAAAAAAATCGCAGAAGGAAGAAAAGCCGGCAGGGCAAGCAACC